ATATATACAGGGTGTCTGTCATAAGGTGTTTAACCGAAAAGATACAAGTAGATTCGTTATTCTGAACAAAAAAGTCCTATACAATTTTTCAAACAACCACGTAAAATTTTGGAGTAATTAATTAAAAAAAGATTGGCTAATAAGCGCGCGATCGGGCAGTGAGCTGACCGTAGCGGCGGTAGCGGTAGCGGTAGCTACTTGTATCTTTTCGGTGGGACACCTTATGACAGACACCCTGTATATTAAAAGGCATCACGAGCCATCGCTGAAATGTTAGTGCAAAAGTTATTAATATTTTTATATAAAAAATTAATTCGTCTACCAGAGACATTATTCTAAATAAATTATTCATTAAAATAATAATTAATGTAATAATTTAAATCGCCGTTTTACATAAAATTGATATGTAAAATAGTTTCCTCAATTATAATAATTTATTTCTACTTCTTTCGAAATTTCTTCTCTTTTCTTACATAACTTCACATTCTTTTATATACTTAGGCATAAATCGAATTTGCATTAGAGCATCAAAGTAACTAAAACAACATACAAATATTGAATTGCATCCAGTTGCTTTTTACACCTTGGTGCGAAAGATACAAGTCGTCGCGCGCAGTATCGCATTAACTGCTGATAATGAGTATATAGTGTGTATTTGATTATTTAGACTATTTTGTATAAGCAATTATTTTTCATTTTTGTTTAAAATGTTTTGTGCTACAGTTGATTTAACTGAGACAGTTACCATTGGTCTGCGTAGAATTGCGAAATATTTAAAATATTATAAACAAAATGGCATCAAACTCAGAAAATCAGAACGACAATCACATGGATTACCGCATAGATAATGCAACAACAGACAAACGTTATGAACTCGCCGAGGCAAAGAATGCAATGAAATATAAGAAGCACGTGGTGAAGAATATGAAACATTTCACGGACCAGCATACAAAGTCTAACAACGAATGGACGTCTAACAATGACGAATTTACGGATAAAGAATATGAGCATACAATGGAAAATATGAAAACGTATATTCCAAAATTGCCAAATTCTTTATTGTTCTTCATATCGGCCGCGCTACATCGTGGAGATTGCGGCCGAAGTACAACGGACAGACCGCTCTGGTTGGATATGGACATGTTTCAGAGAGGACAAAAATTCGCACGAGAACACATCTTCTCGATCTTCCTCGCTAACATGCTGTCACTGTTCCAAATATTTACTTTTAGAGACGGTCTTAAACCGATGATTTTGAGCCGGCAATCTCACACGCCGTACTTAGCGTTTAGAAGGTATAAGTTGTAATAATTTCGACAAAATTTTTCAAATATATGAAAAGATTCCTACATAACTTAATAATTAGATTTAAATCAAATAATTTATTCTTCTATTAAACTTGTATTTCTTATAATGATAATGGTATATTTACAGAAATCATTCAATATATAAAAGAGCTCGAGAATAACAAAAAGCAGAAATTACGGAATTTTTTACTCTACTGCAAAATAATTTTATAGATTAGAATAGATCAGAATAGATTAACTATAGCTAATCTCAACTGTTAAGTAATAAATATAAATAATGTTTTCGAAATAATAGACAAAACTGTAGTTGAATTAAATTTAAATGATTGAATAAAATTACATTCGGTATCTTTTTAAAAAAAATGCATGTCAAAATTTTATCATTGTCAAGATACTTATCTACTGTTTGCCGTGTGAAAAACTGGATAACAGAGGATCCTTGGACCGAAAATACAAAGGCTTATTAAGATATTCAAGCTGTGCGTAGAATGCACCGTGCGATACGGCTGAAACTTCGCGAGTACGATCAGGAGGAACTCGATGCGGCCACTAAAATTTCGAACCCATGGTGCCCGGATAGAAAAACAATCCTAGAAGATTTTTCCTCCTGTCCGTATCCGACCGTGGCAAACGGTTGTCTTCATCTACTGCTCAAACCCACGGGATTAAATCAAGCTGATATGGCAGCTACGCAATTCACTTTCATGGGAATAATTCTGCTTTATCCGCACGAGCTCGGCGTTCACGTTAGCGACGAAAATATGATAGCTTTTTGTCACCTATGGAGAGGTATAGGATATCTTCTTGGTATCGAAGATGAGTAAGTACAATCTGGCGTTTCCGCGCAAGTTCGCTCATCATTACATTTCAAACACTGCGATGTTAATAGCAAGATCATTATGGCAGTAAGTTCAACTAATAACGAGTTTAAACTTTTCTTTTGAGTTTAACGTATTTCCATTCTAAAATAAATTTTTTATTTATCTGAACATTGGTTTTTAATCTTTATCCAATGCATATTTTTGCTTTTGCTTCTTGATTTTTATTTCTTATGTGTTTGTTGACTGATTTATTACTTTTTATAATCTATTATAATATGTTATTCTATAAAATTAATACGTTTTACCGACAATAAATCTATGCTCTAGATACAATTTTTGTCGCGACAGTCTTGAGGAGATAAAGCAAAGAGGGCGAGACTTCACCGAAACTTGGGTGAGACCGTATTTACGGCAAGTAACACCTGAATGGGAGCACATGCTAAGATGTTTGGTAAAAGGTACAAATTATTATACGGCGAATAGTCTCGCATTCAACCAGATTTTATTGCTCGTCGCTGATTTATTAAGCATTAATATGCCACATATGCGAAAAACGCTCACTTATTTTCAACGATTGCAGCTTATGTTACTACGGTAAGCACAAATAAATAAATCAAAAGTGTATATGCAACTTTTAGTTAAAAATATAATAATTGGTAAAATTTGCACATCTTAATTATTATATTTGTACAATGGAAATTTATCAAAAT